AATAAGTGGAAGGAGTGCACCCTGAAATAATGAGGAAAGTGTAAGATAATGCTATAGTTTGGACTTGGACTGTCCCCCAGGCTCATGGGTTAGAGGTACTTGCTCCCACCTGTGATGCTATTGGGAAGGCATCGAGGTCATCTGGGGTGTGCCCATAAGGGGATTATTGGGACCTCAGCTTCTTCCTCTTCCTCTCTTTGCTTCTCAGCTGCCATGAGGGGGATGGGTCTCCTCCAACACAGGCCCCAGAGCAATGGGGCCCAGTGACCCTGGACACTGAAACCTCCAGAACCATGAACCAAAATAAGCCTTTCCTCTTTTTAAGTTGATTATCTCAGGTGTTTTGTCACAGCAGCAAAAAGCTGATGAACACATACATTAAGTACATAAGCCAGTAACATAGCCATGTATTATCCATTTCAAGTATTATATACTAAACCTACTTGTATGTACTGTACCTTTTGGGGGGTGGGTGCTGGGGCCAGAACCCAAGGCCTCGTTCTTGGGTTTTAGGCAAATTCTCCACCACCAAGCTGCTCCCAGCTCTATGGAGCTGTGCTGCATGCTGTTGTATGACTGGCAGTGCAATTTGTTTGCCCCAGCGTCATCTCATACAGGTGAGTCAAGTGCTGCACCACGACATTAGGATGGCTACACTGACACTCATCAGGAATTTCTCAGCTCTAGCAGTATCTTTTTTTTTTTTTTTGGTACTAGGGATTAAACCCAGGGACACTTAACCACTGAGCTAAATCTCCAGGCCTTTTTATTTTTTATTTTGAGACGGAGTCTCACAAATTTGCTTAGAGCTTCACTAAGTGGCTGAAGCTAACTTTGAAATTCAGGTCATCCTGCCTCAGCCTCCCGAGTCGCTGGGATTACAGGCATGTGCCACTGCACCCAGCTGCTCCAGCATAATCTTATGAGATCACTGACATAGATACCCTGTCATTGGCTGAAGCACTGTTGTGCACAAAAACCAAACTATACACTGAAAATGAGTGACTTTGCCAGGTGCAGTGACACAACACCTGTAATCCCAGCGGCTCAGGAGGCTGAGGCAGGAGTTCAAAGCCAGTCTCAGCAAAATGCAAGGCACTAAGCAACTCAGTGAGACCCTGTCTCTAAATAAAATACAAAATAGGTCTGGAGATGTGGCTCAGTGGTTGAGTGTCCCCAGTTCAATTCCTGGTACCAACAAACAAATAAAATGAGTGACCTTTCTAGTATGCAATTTGCATGTCAATAAAGCTGTGTGAAGGACAGATTCCAGGGACCAGCCCAGACCTACTAAATCAGAACCTCTGGTTGTAAAACCCAGGAATCTACATTTTACCTAAATACTCCAACAGGACCCAGCTGTCTACTTTGTTTGAAAAAATGGTAGGAATTTTGAGATGGTGGCAGAAACAGAAATTAAAATACTTTGGGGTCCTTCTGGACGTGGAGCCTGGTGACTGCCTCTGGGCTCCCCCCAGCTGGCCTTGCACCCCAGAGGAAGGTTTGAGATGCTCCATCCAGAGGACGGGGGAGTGTTCAGCGGCAGGCCTCTTCATCAGAGAAGCCAGTTGGGACCAAGCTGGGAGCTGGAGAGGAGAAATCAGAACATCACAGGGTTTCCTCTCCCAGCAAGAGCTGAGGTGGTTTTAATCAGAAGGCTGCAGCGAAGGACCCGAGTCCCGGGGCTGACTCATCTCCAGAGCTGTGGGTTTTCAGTAGCAGGAGAGAGACTGAGCCTGCTGCCAGGTTTGCCAGAAACCCGGGTCAGTCCACCAATCCACCTGTCCTGACTGATTCCAGCAGAGCTGGAGGAGATCAAGGGTACTAGGTGGCCGCAGAGCTGCTATGAGGCCATTGCTCCCTGGGGACCTGTCCCCAACAGAGGCATAAGCAGCCACTAAGCGCTGGCCTCTGCTGCTCCTGAGCCTGGACCTCTGTGCGTTTGACACCTCTCCTAGCAAGAATTAATTTCCACCATCCCTGCAGGTTTAGGTCACTGGCTCAGGACTTAAAGTCTGCCTGTATTGTCATGGTCACAAGCCCACACCCTAGCTAGCCTCAGGGAGGCTGGGAAGGCAAATCTCTCCTATTGTCAGCTTCTATAGCAAGAAGTAGGCTTTGCTACCACCAAAAAGCATCTCAGACTATCAAAACATAGCTCTCACATTGCGTGGGCAAGGTTTTATTTAACTTTTGGGAAGAAGACCACAGAGAGCAAGGCTGTCACCAGGCCATGTCAGAGAGGCCAGAACCAGTGGGACTGGTGACAGCCAGCTGGATGGCTTCCTGGAGGCAGTGTCAGGTCTCCCTGTCACCTTGCTGTTTCCTCTCCTGGGATCTGTTCTTGAGAAGCATCCCCCAAGCCAGATGCATTGATGCACAGCTGAATCCCAGTGACTCGAGAGGCTGAGGCAGGAGGATCGCAAGTTCAAGGCCAGACTCAGAAACTTAGTAAGACCCTATCTCAAAATTAAAAAAAAATAAAAAAGGGCTGGGGACATAGCTCAATGATAGAGTGTCCTGGGTTCAATTCCCAGTACCACACACACACACATAGAGAGAGAGAGAGAGAGAGAGAGAGAGAGAGAGAGAGAGAGA